TACTTGCACAGTAGACAGTTGGCTGCTCTGACTTGAGCATCTGCTTAGCCTGTACTGCAGAGCAGTCCCGGAACTACTTAGGGCTGACTGTCCCTTCATAGCTCTTTTTAAAATGCGAACAAGTTCTGCTAAGCATGGTAGATACCTTTTCCTGGAATATTTTTAACAGAGAAGACATGCATTCTTTAGAAATAGCCTGACTCTGTAATTTTATTTTAGCTGGCTTATGCTTCAGTTATACATGCCTCTCAGCATAGTTCTACTTTAAAACGTTCAGGGTGACGAGTTTGGATGTTTTTGTAACCTTACATTTGAGGGCAGAGGAGAAATTCTCACTCATGCATATATTTGAGTACAAAGGATTGCTTGTGACACATGGAATGCTACCATAAAAGTGTTTTTAAATGAAATTTATTTAAAATTGTTTGAAGTAACTGTGAAAGTGTTGCATTCGTCTGTGAACTCTTCAGTGTAAAAAGGTACACTAAGAGGTTTATTTGTATTATAAATTAATACTACATATAAACTGCTTCAGTTACAAATTTAAGCTTGTTTCACCAGTTTTACTGAACTTTAGTTTTTAGTGTACTGACTTATGCAATATGTAGTTGGAATATTTTCTCAACTAGAACTCACTCAAGCATTACTAACTATGAGGATTATTTGAAAAGACTGAAAAACTTTTCATAGGATTTTTGACTTAATTGAAATTGAGTAAATACAACATCCAGTGACTGTGTTGTGGCTTTCTTTAAAGAATCTCAGCTCAAAAATAGTATGTCTAGGCTAACTGAAAAACAGTGTTTTATCACTTTGTATGGTCTTACTGTATGATGCTACTTTCAGATTTATTGTGGACTATGTGGTACATGAGGGTTTTATTCTGAGACAGTTCCTATTCTTGACTGTTGGAGTAGGTGTGGATGTTACGTAAAGATTTCTTGAAAGAAAGGGCTCTTTTTGTGGAAACAATTCGTGAGCTGCTGCAATTTGAGTTGCCCAGAAAATGAATTCTTTTCAATAAAAGTGGCTAAAACTTTGAGAATGAATTTTAATAAACTTGCCTTTTTTTTTTTTTAAGGTCATCTCAGAATAGAGGTGTCCTACATTTAACTTGCAGTAGAATTTTTCTTACTGATCCCTGAAGATATCCTTTTATCTCACTGAAGATAAGCTTCCTAGTGGTAGCAGTTTTTGACGTACTGAACATGATTAGCATGCATCACGTCTCATCGCATGAGTGAAGTTACCAGGACTGTAAACTCCTGAGTCAGTCCATGAGTGCAGTGGTGCTGTGTGCACATAAACAGTCAAAGTTAATGTTACTGTATTTAGAGTAGACTTCACTATCCAAACAGGCTAAAATAATGAGAAAGCAAACATTGAAAGAAAAAAACATTACTGGCAATGCCGACCAAGTTGCACAGGACTTCATACACTGGCATTCCAAGAGACAATCATTTTTAAAGGACAGAAGTAGGTTACATATCTTGTCATAGAAAACAGTATCATAACTTAATTTTTGATGCATGTACATATGACTGAAGAGTTTACTTGTCTTAGGATTTCTGACCTTTTCTTCTTGTGCTGGATTTATGTGATGGGCTTTTTGTAGCAGGGGAGGGGCTGCAGATACAGCCTCTGTAAGTAGCTGCGAAAAAACTTCCTGGGCTCCAAAACTGGTTGGACTGGCCAGGTCGGACCCCCCATCCCCTCAGGCGAGGGCTGAGCCAATCAGCTCCTCCGTGAATCCCCTATTTAAGATGGGGACAAAGGAGCCTGAACCAGGCTCAGATCTGCAGTAAAGCGAGGGGGGCTAGACACACCCCCAACCTCCTGAGTGGGCAGCTGCCTGTGCTGGGCCACCACCACTCCACCGGAGATGGCCACAGCGGCACGGCTGAAGTGCCGCGCTCCTGGGGCAGCTGGTGAGTGGAGTTCATCCTGCCGGGACGGTCGAGGTTTGTCGGGCCGCTCGGGCCTGGCACTGCTGCAGTGGAGAGAGGGCTGAGATCTGAGAGAAACAGTCATGCACACACCAGGTCAGTGAAGATGGAGCGGGAGGAGGAGTGCTGGAGCTGGGATTCCGCTGCAGCCTATGGAGAGGAATCCATAGGTGCCACCGACGGGAATTGGTTTCTTTGATCATGGGGAGGCTTTCGCAGAACCAGGTCTGATGGCACCAGATGGGACATGCCTTTCTCAGAGGGGAACCAGGGTCTTAGCTCAAAAGCTAGCAGGGCTCATTGGCAGGGCTTTAAACTAGATTTGAAGGGGGAGGGAGGGAATATCAAGAATGATAAAGATATGCTGGAAGTACCTGTAGAACAGAAGAAGGGAATTCCAGCTCCTCCAGCCAGGAAGTCAGATTCATCTGGGGCCCAACTCAAATGCCTTTATCTCAATGCGCGCAGCATGGGGAATAAGCAAGAGGAGTTAGAAGTGTGTGCGCGCCTGTTGGGATATGATCTTATTGGCATCACAGAGACGTGGTGGGAT